ATCAAATACATAAACTTAGGAATTTAAGTGACGTAAGTTTGTATCTTCTTGAATCTTTTTTGATTAGAAAATACTAGAGAAATTGATATATGAGGCACATTCACAAAGTAAGAGTACTCAATTTTTAAAAAATCGAAACGGCAGTATATTTATGAAAAATTTACATATTCAGAAAGGTATATCAAACACTATTTTTCAACTTAGAGTTGCTTTGTGGCGTTGGCTGTGAGGGGACGTGCGTTTACAGTACCGTGCAGTATTAGTAGTCAATGAGAAAGATCCTTTACGGTCGTAAACATAGTTGCCATGATTTTTCGCGCCCAAACAATGGTTTTGAATTTTCTCGCTTCGTCGCGTCGCCACAATACAGTCAAGGAATTGTTCACTTTCCAGTTCGAAGCGTTAGAGAAATTCCCGTGAAGATGCGATTCTGTTGACTTTGTGTTGATCCATGAGTTGTTTGCAACAATTTTCATATTTACCAATTTTTACCAAACTTAAGGATGGAATTTCGTTAGCCAATCACGTGCCTGCGTAGGAGAGAAAGAGAGTACCCAAACTATCTCTTTTTCTCTGTCACTCGTCTACATTGTCGCCTCTGCTTCCTCCATGTAATGTATGCTCTAAGGGCAGACGCATGCGAATTCTGATTAAGGTTCAAAATTCATTGTTTCAAATCAAATACTATTGTGTCCGACTGTTTCCAATGCACTAGGAACAAGGCTAAATGTGTTTTATAGATTACATCTCACCCATACTCAAAACATGTTTGCGGATAGACATCTAAACAGCTAAATTATTCGTCGGTCATCTCACCTATGGCATACTGATGCATGCATACTGATGATGATCTAGTGATCTCTTCTAATAAATGGTCTTAGCTATTTACTGGATATTGGTGGTGCAATTCAATGCCACCCGGGACATACATCACATGGAGCAGTTGTTTCCTATAATATCATTAATTACTAAGTAACTACTTACCTAACTAAAGATAATAATTTACGAGAATTTATGAATTATAGTTTAATAGTAAAATTACACAGGGTGGGCTACCAGTAACGCCTCGGTCGCTAGAGACCAAACGGCAAATGACCAAAAATAGAAACCTATTTAGGTGGGTATGTGTAAGTTGATCACGGCTACATTTTAAAAATATTTGGAAGTATACAGGGTGTCCAGGAAATTCATCGCAGGGGGCATCAAACATGGACAATAACGATGAGACAGTAGCTCCCTATATTTCCTAAACTTTTTCATTATTATTATTATTGATAAAAATGAAATCTATAACCCACTAAGAGGTTATCATGCTTAAAATTAACACCGTGGTCAATAACAATAATATTCTAAGAACACGTTACTGTAGATGTATTTAAAAAATTTATTAATATTACATTTTATCGGGAAAATTTGGACGAAGAGTATAAAAAGCGTTAAATCTGAATTTCGATAGTACATTACATATTAGCCGTTGAAGAGACAGTTAGTATTGAAAATGAAATTATTTGTAAGTAGTCTGCTTTCGCTTTTGTTTATTTATAAAATATAAGAAAGTAAAAACGATTCAGTTGCACATTTCAACAGAAAATATTACTAGTAGCTGTTTTCAATGAGTACAAGAGGACAAGAGGCATACAATTTTNGTTGCACATTTCAACAGAAAATATTACTAGTAGCTGTTTTCAGTGAGTACAAGAGGACAAGAGGCATAAAATTTTAAATACTTTCTAAATTAATTTTTAATTTATTACTAATAAGTAGTTTTTAAATATTTTTTCTCATATTTTTCATTTTTAATATAACTAATAAATTTTTAACACGTAAAAATAGGGAAAATAATAATTGAGGGAAAGGAATGTTACTGTAAAATAAATTAAAAAACTGACTAGCTTTATTTTTAAATATTTAGTCTCAATTTGGTACTAAAACTATTAGAAGGAGAGCTAGAGACAAAAAAATTGTTTGTATTTACTAAGCCTAGTTTTTTGATAGTTGATTACAGTAGTTGTGTACACAAACATACTGTGGTCAGTCAAGCGAAACTGAGAACAGTTGTGTAGGTACACTATCAAAGTTATCGTACCTACAGAGGTAATAAAGTGTATTTACTAAGGCTGAAAACCGTTATACAAATTCTATATTGCATATAATTAAAAGTTATGTCAGTCAGTCAGTTGAATGTGGGGACACAACTGGTCCGTCAGCAGCAATGTATGTATGTACAGAAAATAAATAAAGTGCAATTCGTTTACAATCCTTGAAAACTTTTGTGAGGTTATTAATTGCAATGTTAACCATAAACATAATGGTCAGTCAACGGTTTTGTGGGAGAACATCCGTCAGTCAGCGAAAAAAGAAATAAATATTTCGCGCGGGTCGCTCTTTTTTCTTTATTTGTTCGACGAACTATTCACATATTTTATTATATGTACTTTATAGTAATATTAGTAATATACATTTTAATTACATTGAATATACCATTTATTAATTTATTATAATTTAATAAAATTGTACGGGCTATCATTACGAAAGAAATATTGAACAATCTGTGAAAAACTTGTGAAAAAAATATAATGAACATTTATTATACAGGGTGTTAAAATTAAGTATGTACAATAAGTTCAACAGACTATCAGTTGAGTGATTTTAAGATAAAAAGTTCATATAAACATTGGTCCGCAGATGCTTCGTTTTCAAGATAGAGGGTGTTAAACTTTTGTAAAAAATTGCTCCTTCGTAAATATCTTAAACACCCTTCACTCAATTTTGTTGTAATTTGGCAGTGTTATTTGTAGTACTAACTTTATTAGATTTGTTAAGTCCAGTGGCGTCCCGAACAGTATCTTAACGAATATTTTTAATATTTCTTGTGTGGTATGTAAGTAGGTGGATTTTATTTTTTTTCTCCAAAAATTAAGCAAGATGCGAAAATCATTCACGCGACAAAAAGTTGTATTTTTAGTTGCTTAATCCAAAAAAAAATCTATAAAAATTACAAAAAAGTCAGTGGCGTACATTCTTTTGTCAAAAATATTCATTAAGATACCGTTCGGACGCCACTGGACTTAACAAATCTAATCAAGTTAGGGTTAAATTAGCCCCTTAACACTACAAGTAACACTGCCAAATTACAACAAAATTGGATATGCTCTGTCCCCACATTCATCTGACTGACTGACAACTTTTATTTATATGCAATACAGAATTTGTATAACGATTTTTAGCATTAGTAAATTCATTTTATTACCTCGGTAGGTACTACAACTTTGATAGTGTACCTGAGTAACCTGTTCTCAGTTTCGCTTGACTGACCACAGTATGTTTGTGTACACAACTACTGTAATCGATTATCAAAAAACTAAGGTTAGTAAATTGAAACAATTTTTTTTGCCTTTGGCTCTTGGACTATATGAGTTATACAGTATGGAACAGCCAACTGGAATAAATTCAGTAGCTCAATATTTGTGCAGATTTCTCGACACATCGATTTTAGATTTTGAAATGACAACCTACTTCGATTGGCTGTTACAATCCCTAAATTTTTAAATGGGAAGTAAGGGCTTGTGATACCTCATTAGAAAGATATTTTCATTCTCTATTAAAAAATGCTATGGTTTTAACATGTATTCCAAAAATTAGCAGTAAAAAAATTAATTCATCAGCTTGACGAAATTCGCTACAGCAAATCAAAAAAAAAAAACAATTTCAACGTAGGAGATGTTCAAAATGAACATCTTGGCCGTATCTTAATCGTAAATAAAAATGCCTTCTAACGTTTTCCAACATCTGGCGTGACCGACCTAACTGCAACCATTATTTTTCTTCTCCAGATAGCTATATCGCGTGGCTTAGTTTTGTATACCATACTTTTCACATATTGAAATAGAAAGAAATCTAAGGGCGTAAAATCAGGAAAATGTGCTGGCCATTCTAGCAAGCCTCGCCTCACCGATTTGGAAATGTGATTCTATCTCCGCAAAATAGTGACAACTATTTATTGCTGTCAATTAAATAAAATAGCAAGTAGCTACGGTGTTTTAAAAAAATTGGCAGTGCCAGCTACGAAGAATTTTGATGTTTTTATATTTTCTTTTTAGTTGAGAATGTTGAAAAAGAACATTGAAATTGTTTTTGCTTGCCTACAAGAACAAAACACTGTTAGTTTTTATGTTTCTGTTTGTTGTAACAAATTTCATCAAGTAAGTCGTTAATTTTTGCAATAAATATTAAAACCACAGCATTTTTAAGTAAGGAGTGAAAAGACCTTTCAAATGAGGCTCCTACTCCCATTTAAAAATTTGGGGTTTGCAATTGCCACTCGAAAGAGGTTGAATTTAGGGATGGATTTTTTACATTTTAGAAACCATTATCGAAATGTCTCGGAATTTTTTATAAATATGCACAATAATTGAGTTACTGAATTTATTCCATTTGGCTGTTCCACATTATTCTTTTAAGTTTACATTAATTGAAAATAGTAAAAATGTATATTCTTTTTTAATTTCTTTATATCCAATGTCTTTAATATAAAATAGATCATAAGTATTTAGTATTATTTTCAAAATTCATTATCAATGAACAATGGAAGCAACTAAAAAATTGTTATTGCAGGCAATTATACTCGCTGTATTCATTTGCTTTGCCATGGCTCTACCTGACGGTGGAGAAGGTGGTCACGGACAATTTGGGGGTGGTCATGGTGGAGGACACGGAGATGGTCAAAGAGGTGGTCCAGGGGGATTTGGCGGTAATCAAGGGGGACATGGTGGTAGTTCCGGAGGTGGACATGGTGGTGGTTTTGGAGGTGGTGTTGGTGGTGGCCATGGGGATCATGGGTATTAATTCATAGCTTACAAACAGAATTTGGTGTAAAATTACAAAAATAAATTTATAATTCCTCATGTGTGTATATTTTTATCCTCGTACAGTCTTTTTTTTTTAAATGGGTACCGATTCCGCAAGCAGACACAAAACCTAATAATAATTTGCTTATGTGCACAATACATGGATAAAATGACATCCAGCGGGAACAAGTTTCACCTCAAATCAGTGCATAGACACGAAATGTGGCATTGGAAAAAAGTTATTCTTCAGTCTTGAAATGCAAATTTTATTTCGAACCATAACGATTTCTTGACTTTTTCCAGAGCTTTTACAATTGTATGAATTAGAAAAACGATTTCAAAATGAAAAAAGCATTCCCCTCATCCAAATTCCTTCCTTTTGTAATGTAAATGTTAAAATAAAAAAACTAAATCAGTAAATTCATCAAAATACCTAAAGAAATAATTGAGAAAGTAAAAGGATATGTGAGAAGCCGTATTGGGGTACATCAGGAACACCATTTTTAACACATTTCATAAAATCAATTAAATAAAAATGTACCTAATATACCCTAATACC